GTTTTTGTCCTAGGGGTATTTTGGTCATTTCGACAAATTTGTACAGTACCAACGAAGGCTAACCGGACAGCGATGGTAAATCGTAGAAGTTAAGCAAAAGTCGATGGCATACTGTAGAACGTGACAAAGTCAGTGGCAAATCGTAGACGTGTGATAAAGTCAGTGGCATATAATGGATTCTCTCAAACTTAAATTATCAGAAAACTACATATTTTACAAGTTTAACGGCATGTTTGGGGGAGTTTAAGATTCTGAGAAGCAACTGCTGAGAAGCTAGCTGGTGATCATCTAAAGAAGCTGGAGTTTAAGATTCTGAGAAGCTTCTGGCTTCTAGTTCATTTTCTAGATTCTACAACTATAGATTCTCAGAATCTGGGTAAAAAGCTGGACTGTTTGGGGGAGCTTCTGGCAACTTGAGATTCTAGGAGAAGCTGCAGCTGCTAGAAGCTCCCCAAAACAGGTCCTAAATTCCTACAACTACTATTATGTTAGAGTTATAGATGTTGTAGTTTTGTACTTAACTTGGTGCAAACCATGTAATTTTGTGATAATTTTATTACTAAACATGTAATTTTATGATACTCCATATTAAATATGGAGTTCTTCGATAAATTTGTAGTTTTGTGATATATCGTCCTAAATCTGTAGTTTTATATATGATAGTTTAGGCAAAGTGCATGTAGTTTTGTGAAATTTAATCTTTTTTAAAACACGGTATAAACACGTATGCTTATATGCACTTATATGCACACGCAAATTTACTTCCTATGAGTATATCTAGAGACTGGACTAACATATTCTGAGAGTGACGATGTCACTATGTAGCTGTAAATGTAAGTATTCATGTCAAGTCTAGAACTTAACTCGGATGGGTAGGTTCCATCGTCATAAGCCTAAACCAGTTGAGTTTCGCTCACTTTGCTATTTTTCGTAGGATTACTATTGCAATTGAGGTATTTTATAACTAAATCATTCATTTGGTTTACCCAAGTAGGAGTATACCATTGCCTGTCGTCGTAGGCTTGCGCAGCACATCACATCATTGATCAAATCATCAGCATCATCGCACACCCGAGATACTACGTCCGTCCCAAAATAAGTGCAGTCATGAGTTTCAGCGCCCAACTTTGATCGTCCGTCTTATTTGAATTTTTTTTTATAATTAGCAATTTTGTTGTTATAAGATGATAAAACATGAATACTACTTTACTCGTGAATTATGTTTTTAATTTTTTTTCAAAAAATTTTCAAATAAGACGAGTGGTCAAAGTTGTGCGCGGAAAACCATGGCTGCACTTATTTTAAGATGGAAGGAGTAATACTCAATTATGAAGTATTTATCTATATGAGGCCTTTTACTAGCCATACTGACATCTACATTCGGGTACTAATTGTTTTGATTACTTAAAAGGTGCATTTTCCAACTCTAAACTTAAATAAAAGTTAGGAAAAAAGCAACATAACCTTTCTAACTGGACGTTGATTCAGTCGTGCACTATAAATCTTGTTCAATTATTTTCAGTATTAGCCCAAATTTAGAATGGTTTGGGAAGATGTGGTGACGTGGTCCAAAGGATATTTTGTTGTTTCGTACGATGTTTGTCTAAGTTATAAAACATTAAAACCCTATAATGCAAGTGCTGACTTTCTCAGAATTTTCTGAATTCAAAAGTCATATACTAATTGTTAAAATTCGTTAAGAGTCTTTGGGGCATGTCAACACGACCAGTTAAGAAAAGCCAGTCTATATTGAGCTATAGGGTTGAAATGTAAACGGTTTTGATAGTTTAGGTTTGAGAAGTGAACAATTTTCGTAGTTACGGCTGCCTTGTCTCAATTTAATGGAACTTTAGAACTTTAACGAGATCTTTTCTTGATTAATTTGAGCTGAAGTTCAGTAATAAGGACATATCAATAAATTGCCAAGAGATGGAGTTGTGGGTCCTCCTCTTTTTTCAGAGGGTGTTCTGAACCTTCGTGGGTGTATTTATATAGTATTAGAAAAATGTCCGTGCGTTGTAACGAGTGAAGATTATTTTAATTTTATTATTGTTATACGGTTTATTTAAAGTGAAATTCACTTCGATATATATTTTTTTTAGAAAATTATGAGTCGCAATTAGGAGTCCAATTGTTTTAAGTTAGCATATGAATTTTTTAAGAGATTTTCTTATATGACTCCTATATTTCTAAAAGCAAACGAACTTAAAAACTGACTCAAATACGAATATGTATTTCCAAAAACGAACGAATTTAAAAATCACCTCATACACGGGGATGACGTACCAAAATACCGGCAAAAATATTTTAAATTTTTATAATAGTATATTTTAGTATATTTTTAAAGCGTGTACTAGTAGCATGTTATTGTCAACTGAAATTTGAAACCGGCCAGCATGCTTCCATTTCACCCTGGGTATGATTCATGAGATTTTATAATTCTAGAGGAGATATTGAAAGGTGAATATGTCAAATTTAGGAGTAATTTTATAGTCCTTAAGGAGATACCATGAGGTACTATTTTTTTATTATAAATTTGATATCTCTTGATACCAAAGTACTAGGAGATACTAAATTTTACACTAAATTTTTTTATCATGCTACCTCCTTAAGAACTATAAAATTTTTAAAAATTTAAACATCTCGGTACCTCTAATACTAACATGTACGAAAATTTGTACTATAATTTTGATACTTTAAATAAACCTTCAAAGATGGTAAAATTTCTCATGATTCATTCTCTCTCACACACAGAAAAAAAAAACACGCTAATGCCGAGCTTGAGATCCTCTTCCGAGTTCTGCTACAAATTACAAGTACAAGAACAATGATAGATGTACTCTACAATCTTGTCAGTTCGGCGAGAAAACTCTGGATACTCACGCGGCTAAGCGCGATACTATAATAGTATTGAGGTGTTGACATCCATGTGTTGAGTGTGTTTCATACATTCATACTCATCAATAGGCCAGTATATAAATTACTCATGGGTATTGATTAGTGCTAATCCGGTGGTTACCTGAACCCGGAGGTAATAAGCACTGATGGTTCGTTGTCACTTGTCCTGATGTCAGTGGCAACTACATGTTTCTTTCAAGCTTGTTTACTAGCACCCCGGTCGCCGTTAATTATTGGGCGATAATCCTGTAAAATAATCAGGATCGCTTGGCTAAGTATCAACGGAAAGGGGGCTTGACGTTGCGACATTTCTGTGCCTTTGTCATCCTGCACAAGTTGCACACTAAATATTTCCTCTTTTGAGTGCCCAGTCCTAAACTTTTTTAACAACTAATACATGCTACTAGAGGTCTCTTCAATCATGTCGTTAGCTAATTAAGTAGTACGGGGTTGTTGTCTGATTCCTTGCATCAGAAAGTAGTACTCCCTCTACCCTATAATAAAAGAATTTTGAGTTTTGTTTCTTACACTCTTTAACCACTCGTCTTATTAAAAAAAATTTTATGCAAATATATAAAACGAAAAATTATGCTTAAAATACTTTAAATAATAAAGTAAGTAAAAAAATAAACAATAATTTTAAATTTTTTTAATAAGACGAATGGTCAAACAAGTGAAGAAAAACTCAAAACTCTTATATTATAGGACGGAGGGAGTAAGGTCCAGTCCTTTCTTCAGGCTCTTCTCGATCTGCACTCCATATCTCATCAGGGAGGCATCATCGCTGCGTACTGCTAATTACTACTTCCTCCGTTTTACAATGTAAATCATTTTAGTATTATTTACATTTATATTATTGTTAATGAATTTAGATAGATATATATAAATGTGAAAAATATATTAGAATGACTTACATTATGAAATGGAGGGAGTAGTAATCCTATGTGCATTGGAATGGTTTTCTCGAACCCTGTTTCATTTATATTGATCAAAACATCAGTTCTAATCCACTGAAGTGAAACTGTAAGGTAATTTCAGGCAAAGCAAAGCAGTTTGTTCATGGTGTCACGGCACGAAGGAAAGTTGAGACAGGCACAGGCAACACTGCGTCAGCGGTGTTGACCTGAATACCAAATCTTTTTTACACGGGACTGACTTGAGTGATATAATAATCAGAAACCAGGAAGTAATTTCAGAGCCATCAATCCATTCATGCTTTAGGCCCTGTTTAATTTAAGAAAAGAAAATTTTTAGGTGTCACATCGAACGTTTGATCGGATATCGAAAGTGATTTTCGGACACAAATGAAAAAACTAATTTCATAACTCGTCTGAAAAACACGAGACGAATTTATTAAACCTAATTAATCCATCATTAACACACGTGAGTTAATGTAACACTTATGGCTAATCATGGACTAATTAGGTTTCAAAATATTCGTCGTGATTTTTATGCAAACTGTGCAATTAGTTTTTTTTATCTATATTTAATACTCCATACATATGTTAAAAAATTCGATGTGACGTTTTTAGGGAAAAAAATTGGAAACAAACAAGCCTTAGTTTAGCAGCCTCCCCAACCTTCATCATCACTAGTAGTTTAGTTTCCTCTCTGTGTCGCATCTTTTGTTTGGAGTCTTGCTCCAAAGTCAGTTAGTGGCTCCGGGAGATGTTGATGACCATGACACAAATGTTTTCACATGCTTCACGCACGGTCCTTTTTTCTTCTTTTCTTTGTTTTTCTTTATGTGTTGCTTCCTGGGCAGGTAGATCAGATGTGTGTGTTCATCCGTGTGGATGCTTTCCAAAGCCCCAAGTAGCACAAGCCTGCAAGCCAAAGGCACACAGGCACGCACAGCTTCAGCTTTTGGCGTATCACGACTGGCGAAACCGATTTCTATCCACGCGGATACGATATATCCCCCATCTCCTAGTCGAGGAGTTTGACGCACCAAGTAACAGAGGAAATGAAAGCGAAATTGGTCATCAGTTCAGAGCAGAGCAGAGCAGATCAGAACACTTGTTTGTTGCTCACTTGTTCAGGCTAATAAAAATCCTTCAGAGCTTCAGTTAAACACGAGAGATAAATACACAATCAAGAAGTGATAAATAACCCCCATTCTCTTTATTAATTATTATTATTATTGCTTCTAGGAGTACTAATTTACATGCAAAGATCTGACCGATACATATATATACTACAGGACCCGTTCCAACATTGCTGTTACATTCTGAATCCTGAACTTCCACGGAACACCCTCCTCTTTTTTTCTTGGAACGTATTGTTGTCCCGGCCAATTCTGAATTCCCACCTGATGATCACCTGCCCGGCCAGGGATGGACATGGATGGATGGATGGTTGCTCGTTCTGAGCGATTCGCCGGAGTCGGGAGAGACAGTAGGTGTGGCCTACGCGGTCACCGATGTCTCGATGGCGACGCGGTCGGAGTAGATGAGCACGTCCTCCGCCTTCTCGGCCTCCTCCCACAGCTCCGGCAGCGCCTCCCTGATGTTGTGGATGCTCTCCAGCGCGTGGTCCGCGCCCTTCACCCGCTGCGGCGTGCCCACCAGCACCGTGTGGAGCCCGATCCTCTTCCCCGCCTGGATGTTCCTCACGCTGTCGTCGAAGAAAATCTGAAGAAATTGAGAAAAAAAAACGAAGGTCAATCGATCGAGCGAAGGGAGGAATAAAAAAGAACGATCCTTTTGGCGTCAGGAGTGACGTGAGTGACGCACCGCCTTGTGAGGGTTCACGTTGGCGATCCTGAGGGCCTCCTCCATGGCGTCGACGTTGGGCTTGCAGAGGACGGGTGTCCTGGGAAGCTCGTCGGCGGCGGCGCCGGGCATGGAGAAGTGTCCGGCGATGTCGAAGATGCTGGCCTCCCCGTCGCACGGCGGCGACGGGCACGGCGGGTTGAGGGTCTCGAAGCAGATGATCCCCTCGAAGCAGTCCTCCAGCCCCAGCCTCTTGAGGGCTCTCACGGCGTGGTCCTTGTCGCCGTTGGTGAATATCTGCAACGACGCGTGCCAGTTCAGAACCAAAACACGATTACATGAGACATGTGAGATTGGTTTCGATTCTGGTCTGGAGGAACTCACGAGTTTGCGGATGCGCAGGTTCTTGAGAATGTGCTTCAGGACAGGGTCCGGCTTGATGTTCTCGTAGGGCAGTCTTCCATGGACAAAACTGTCAGAAATGAACAGAAGATGTTAAGCAGATCATTACAGAGGATTGCCATGAGATGAATGGGCTTAATGCGTTCGTGTCTGTACCTGTGGTACTCATCGTAATCGAAGCTGTAGCCTATTGCCTGATCGATCAAAGCAAAGGAAAAAAGAAGAAAAAAATTTCAGTAACCGAGTAATTATAGAATAAAAAACAGAACAGTGTAAGGGATCAGGGGAGCTGATTAATTTACCCTGAGTCCGGCCATCGTCGTGCCGTAGTTCTTGTACAGCAGATTGCCAAGGTTCTCAATCTTGCTCTCCTCAATACCCAGCTTCTCAACCATGTAATCTGAACGGAATGGCGGACAAGAATCACGCATTCAGCTACAAATCTCACTAACTAAACTAATAATAAATCAGTCTGCGTTTCAGTTAATCGTACCTCCAATGTTCTTCTTGACATGGGACGCGATCCCCGAGCTCAGTGGGTACAGAGTGTCATCGAGGTCTGCAGAGTTCCCCAGGGAAGAACAGGATCAAGACCTTTTCGCATTCAGTGAAAGAAAAAACAGGGAAAGAAAGCGAATGTACAAATCAACAGAGAGTGACATTCTGCAAGAACTGGGTAGCTTACCAAACAGCAGGCAGTCGAATTTGGGCTCCTGGACCTTGTGGCAGCGGTCTTCGAACTCCATGATTTTCAGGTCGTGATGAACAAGCTGCAGAAAGAATCAAGAAAAAATCAGCAGGTCCTTCGATTACTTCTCCGTGCAGTTTCATATCAATTTTATCATCATTTTTAATGTATTATAAACGGCATCATTTCCCCTCTCATTCCTCACACGACGTTCATCAAAAGCTCTTAAACCGAGCCACATTTGCCATGAATTAATCCACAGCCAAGAACACGAGCGTACCTCCTAAAGCTCACAGCTCTTGGGATCGCAATGCAGCGAGGAGAGGAGCCAAAGAGAAGAGAGGTGTGGTGTCTCGAGCCTTCGGGAGAGACGCTATAGGCTATAGCGAGAGAGAGTGCGAGGCGGAGGGGGGAGGAGAAAAGGCAGGCATTGGTGGGTTTATATAGGGGGAGGAGGTGAAGCCCATGGCGTCGCGACCCCGGGGTTAGCATTTAGCAGTCGTAGTTAGCAGCTGATTACCACACTAATTAATTCGCTAAGCACGGGGAGGTCTCCGTGTTGTTAATGGCCTCCATGGCCAGTGCCGCCCAGCTGTCGCCCCATGATTGGTCCTAGCAAACAAAACCTAAATTATTTTTCTCCCCGAATTGGCCCTCTTCTCTCCTGTATATAATTTTGACCTGGCAATGTTGCCTGGAGGGACAAGGCAGGGAATTTTCATGGGCAAAGACGAAGACGAAGAGAGGAGAAGAGACCAGAGAGAGCGCGTTGCACGATAATGAACCATACATACGTACACACATTATAGCAGTGCCATTAAACTACGAGGAAGTTGTTCAGAGGAATTAATTGGGGAGACCATTGTGGCATTTCTTCCTTTCGAGTGACGTGTGGCCTGAGGCAAATCATGTGACCTCAAGCTTCCATATGGAACGGGCACTGCAACAAGTGTCGCCGAAACAAGATGAAAAAATGATTAAACGAAAAAAATGTACTTGGTGGTCACTCATCAGTTGCACAGATTTTAGGGCGAGAACGGACAGATGGTTGGCCGTAAGTACGGGAGTACTAGCAGAGGAATATCCACGCGGACGATCCCGAGATCACGAGGAATCGAGGGTATGGGCGGCAAAAATCTGAATGGTTGGATCAGAGATTCAGAGGGTGATAAAAAGGGGTTCATGTGGCTGTGTAGGCGCAACAAACTTGGGCCTCTTCCTTCGGTCGCAGGACAGATTTTGTCCTCCCACAACTTTTCTTCTGCTTGACACAGTTCGCTCATCCCTCTTATCTTTTCTTTGACACGACTTTCGGTTGAAACATTTTTGTCAAATTTCGCATCGCGAGGTTTGTCAAATTTCGTAAAAAAACGTTACCGCCTTGAGCATGATAACGCGACATTATCCTGCCTTTTTCTCCTGGATGGATAGGAAGCTTGACCTGGCAAAATAGAAACTGAAAATAACTTGGTATCAGCAGCCGGGACTGGGGGGGAAGGTAAAGAAGAAGTTGGGTACAGAGTGCCAGTGGCGCAAATCATTTGACAGGCCAATTATTGGAGGCAAATCATTTGATAATACTCGTGCCCGGGCCACGTGGCGCCGGGAACTCGCCCCCAAATTTTTCTTTCCCCCCAGGTTGCGCACGCCGACGCGTCAACACCCCCATCATACACTTCCCCATCTCGTAAGCCCAAGAAAATCATGCGTGAGTCGCCGTTGCGCTGCGCTGCGACGAGACGAGTAGAGTTCAATGTGGGCGTCGCACTAACGCGCGCGGGATGCGGTCGCAGGGCTCGCCTTTGTGGGGTTTTTGCGGGGGCGGCACGAGTGGCTGTCTCGGCGGAAAAAGGTAGGGACGACCTTGCGTTGCGCTGCGCGGGGAGGGGAGAGGAGTCAGAGGACGAGGGTTGAGTTGACATCGCGCGAGCACAGTACGAGTACGACGCCGCGTTGGGTGGTGGCTGCGCCTGCGCGCGCCCGCCCGCGTCGTGGGCTTCTGTGGCTGGCCCCGCCCGCCCGCACTACCACCTCCCACCACCACCCACCACCACCCGTTCGTTCGATCGCTCACAGCCGCGCGCGCGCACGCACGGCGCGGCGTACGGGGCCGCACGTCCGATTCGCCGGGGTGGGCACGTGAGCTCTCTCGATCGATCTCGTCGCCCGCGCGCGCCCAAGGCTTCGTGACGACCGGAAAATATCTCCCGTGGGTGACTGCGCCGCCCGCACACACGGGCTAATCGGCCAGAGTGTCAGGCAGACGAAGGTGGCCCGCTTTCCAGTACGTGCTACCTACGGCAGCGACCGTGTTGGTTCTTTCAGCTCTCGGGCCGGCTCGTGGTTTTGGTTTCGCGTCGTCACAAATTTGATTTTTGGTTACTCGACTCGGTTAGCTCGTGTCCACATTTTGCCGTGTGAGATAAGAAAATTTTGCCTCAAACGACACTGATAACATATATATACGGTTTGGGGGCAGTGGAGTTGTAAAACGGGTCAATCTCGGCACAGGGAATCAGGGATCCCAATTAACGCGAATACAAATCCATGGGGTGCCTAATATAAACACCACCACGGCATCCTGATCCCCCAACCTCAGGAGCAAAGACGGAATTAAACATCGTGCCTGCGTGTCATGCATGGAACGTACCCTAATAAAAGCGTGTCCAAGTGAGATCAACCCACCGGAACGGGCAATCAGCTGCAACAAAAGCACAAATATCTTTGGCCCCTAGTACAGACCCGTACCACGAACGCACACTCTGCGTGCGATTTAAGCACAACCGGCAGCCAATAATTCTCCTCCTCCTCACCCCCTGCTGCTGCTGCTACAGCTTGCTGCTGTGCAGCTGCCAGTGAGCTGCGATGCACCATCGCCAGGCAGGCATCCGTTGCCGTATTCTGCTAGCAAATGCAGGGACCAAAACCACGTAAAGCCAATAATGTAATGCTACTACCTCCCGTTCTCCAAGTACGTAGGTACGTCGTCCCTTTGCATTGCTCCCAGATGCTGGCAAGAATTGCGACCGAGCTGCCATTGTCAGGGAGGGCAGAAACACGTCGTAATCCGTCGAAAAATACTATAGTGTTTTTTCCTTAACGAAAATATCGTTGTTGTTTTGGTTGGGCTGAAGTGAACGCAGCCACTTGAACTTCGGAAGCTTGGATTGTTCTTTGGGGCGAAATTATTGGAAACTGGAGATAAGATCGACTTGGGAGTGCTATGCAATGGTGTTTGATTATCACTGACCCAGAAGGGAAGCATCCGGGGGGAGAGGCTCAATAATTCAGAGACAGCACATCAAGCTATGCCGTGCAACCAATGCTCTAGTACTTGTGACTAATCATTGGCAGCCATTTGTGTGTCTTAATTAATCGGTGGCCAACGTTTTTTTAAGTTGCATGCATCACATAAACCTCCAGATTAACCTAATTAATCGGCAGCTTGAATTGTGTCAAACTGTCAGGATATCGATCCCTCGCCAAAGCCCGGCACTGCTGTCCATTTTTGCTGCTTGTCAGGACTCGGGAAACAGAATTTACGAGCATTTGGTGATTGGTTCAGAAAGGAAATGCTTGAACACTGAATGGGTTTTGCTAATAAACTGTAAGCTAAAATGACGTACTCCCACAGCATAGTAAAAGTTTTGTTATTACACGGAAAATTATACACTACTAGATCCAAACTGAGAAGGAAACTTGTCATCCACGATCCAAACTGTTGCATGGCAATAGTAAACATTTTCATATTACACGGAACACATACCACAGTTCAAATAAACGAAAGCCAACTATAAATGTTGGATAATTTTATCATCCTTAAGATAGTACTCAGAGATACTAACATATTTTCTAGTGTAAAATTTGGTACTAAGTATCTTAAAGTACTAAAAATTTTTATGTAAAAATTATGTATCTCAAGGTACTTTCTAAAGAACGGTAAAATTCCTCATAAATGTTCGGTCTTACTAAATTTCTAGTTAAAAATGTATTTGCGTGCATGTGATATCTTAAAAAAAATTATTATTTAAACCTTGATGGGGATAGATCGTGTATACCTACGACTATGGCACCATGCCACTTGTGCTTCCCTGCATAGCAATAGTAACTTGATAGAGCGAAAGCTAGTTACTGAGGTTAGCGATAAGCTAAAATTTCCTGCAGCCAATCTAGCTCATCCAACCGGATTGCTCTGTAGCCAAACTTTTTCACGTGTCGTCTCCATGAATAGCATTTTTTTTTCAAAATTTGAGAAAAACACATTCCTCCAATATGTTAATTAGATGAGTCATTTACAGTCATTGAGAGGTATCGCGAGATATCATATTTTTTAAGCATCTCTTAGATCTCTCAAAAACTGTAAAATTTGTCTAATTAGATATATAGTACTCCCCCATTCCAAAATATAAGGCACAACCACCCTTAATCCAAAGACCAAGAAATATTTATTATCATATTGTAGTTTGGATTATCCTAATAAATATAATGCATGCATCCAATAGGATTAGATAACATGAGAGTGGATGATTTAAAAAAGTTATAATTTAATGAAGAAGATGTCACAGTTAATTCCATGCTTGCATGCATGTCTTATATTATGGAACATTTAATAAAAGTGGTTGTGTCTTATATTATGGAATGAAGGGAGTATGACACAAGCGAGAGGATGGTTATTTGCTGGGAAGGAAAATGACCATCCAGACCCAAACGGTTGCAAGGGAAACATTTACTTTAGTACAACAAAGGATAAAAAGCAGATTCTCAAAATCAATTGCTTCACCAACATATCTTTCCAGAAAGAAAAGAAGGAACGAAATGAAGCATGCATGTCAAACATGCCTAAAACCACGTGTGCTAATTGCTGGTCTTCTTCAGTTCCTTGCCCATCCTTCTTCATTGAGCATGCATTCCTGCATTCACATGGTTTGCATCCTTACACATCGCCTTGAGAAAACCACTCCTACCTAGCAGGAAAGGGCCTTATGAAGAAGTATAAAGTATGGAGTATGAACACACCAAGTTCCTCACAAAATCTTCTGATTGCTGCCTCCAGCTAATAACAACGAATAACTAATGCTGAACACCGAGTGTCAAACCAAAATAGCAGTGGTTAGGAGGCGACTGGAAGTATATTAATTAAACGTTGATCATGCCGCCGAGTAGTAAACCCACGGTTGGGGCCGGTGTCACGGTGCCTGTATGGTAGACGCTTCTGCTAACACGCAGCAATAATTTGACGACGACCTTGCTGGTCAGGGCACTCTACAATATTGCAAGAAGAAGCCGTCAATGCGACGCGCCACAGCCTTTGTTTATGTCCATGATGGCATCCCTTGCTGTTGTTTATAGGTGTAGTCAATATAAAAGATTGGAAGATCCGCTTGGTGTGTTTGAGAGTGTTAACTACTGAAGCCCGTCAGAGAAACTACTCACCTTTGTTG